GTGCCACTGATCACAATCTTCCTTGGGCGCCTTCCATACCCCTTTGGTGTTGTATCACCCAAATTTCTCAATAAACAATTCTCATCAATTTTTTCTTGTCGGTGCTACGATTTCCCCCCCCCCCCCAAACTTTGGATACTTTCAAGAGTGACAACGTTTGGGGGGTTATCCTTACCCCCTTCGACCATGGTTTGAAGAAACTTTCATCGATTTTTCTTGTCTCAGACCTCCTGTACTACTATCCTCCCCCTCCCGAAAAAAAACACTCCAGGCACTCTGAAAAAACGCGCGACAGTCAGATATCAAAAGTGGTAACCTTTTCAGAGTGCCACTGTTTTATAGTCCCCCTGGAGGGCACCCAAAACATTCGCAGCCCTCCACGTTCTTATTGTAATCATGAAGGGCCCCGATGGAGGGGGGGGGGGAAGGCTTAAGAAAAAACGCTTCCAAAACAATTAAAGTCTTTTCCATGAAACTTAATTGAATAAGGAATGAAACCGCCGAGCTGGCTCTCGGTTTTGGAGTGTGTGTTCCTCTCGATGGTGTATAATGAACTGTTTTATTTAGGCCCAAACAAAAGTAAGTAAAAGCAATGACTACACACCAAACAAAACATTTTCTCCTACGAACTTTGTTGATTCCTCGATAAAAACAAGCGCCATCATTCCGACATATATTTATACAAAAAAGGCGAGTTAGACACATCACTGCGTCTCAGTTAACATCCGTGTACTCAGGGTCATGCGATCTACAGAAAATACGCATGCCTTCGCGACAATATATACAGCAAATAACCCTGGTAGTCCGCGCACCAACTCAAACACCGGTGTTTTAAGCAATAGCCGTACCTTGTCTGTCGCTTTCGCAGGACCATACAAAAGCATACTTTTTTTTGGCACAAAACTTACTCGGAGCCACTTCCAAGGCCGTCTGGTATCCGGTGACGTATGCAAAAGTGATAGGGCGTTGGGAAAAAAAAATACCAAGCCTGAACAGGTACCATGTATTAATTCATGTTATATGTGCCTGCAGTTCAATGTCTAAATGGGGAGAGAGTTATTAACTTTATAACCAATTGTAGACATTAAACCCATCCCTTCGTTTTTCTTTTACCTCCCACCAATTCTCTTCTGGACACCGCAAGATTATATGTGTGTACAAAGCGTTGAATTAAAAAACAACACGTTTAAAAGCGCGGACCTAAGCAGGTGCGAAACGCTGTATTTACTTCTATTGGTACCGGTAACGTTTAAGTCTTGGGCTGCTGACAATTTTACTAAAAAAGCGCAAATTTTTCGAGAGATACACCAACACTGCCGTCTTCCTGCAAATGCTCGCCACCATATATTCTTTTTCGAGAATGTGTAGTCGTTAGTGCGAATTTCCTTAACTTCTATTCCGTATAATCAGAATTAAAATTCCGGGATTGATCAATAAAGTGCAATCTGTCCCATCTTATCTGCCGAACCATGTATATCGTGCTTCATGCGTGTCGCCCTCTCTTCAGCAACAGGGGAGCACCTGATCTCTTCATTCTGAAACGTGTGCGTATCCTGTTACATGGGAAAAACTTCGCCAACGCCGTTACCTTTTTCAGGTCAAGTTGACAATCTTTCTGAGTCAGCTCGACGACGGCCTGGACGTCTTTCGCCGTCGGGAATTCGCGCTCGATGATTCTCCCTCCTGCAATTTTGCCGTGGAACCGTCTCGGGAACACTTATAAATATAGTATTGATAGTGACGCCCAGCGTGGCTGTGGCATTGCTCGTCGGACTGAAGTATTTCGTCAGAGCCCCCGTAATGGCCGCGTTTCTTCCGGATATGGTCCCCCGCACGCAGCTCGCCCTTCCCAGGTAGGTCCTTCTGCTTTCTCTGATCCTTCTTATACGTTCCTGCCGCCGCAGCTTGATTGGTGCTCACCATTGCACCTGGCGGTTTCCAACTCCGAGTCTCTTTGAAGCCGCGAAGGCCTATTCACTATCCGTCAGCTGCTTGTATCACAATCTCATCGGGAAGACGGATTAAAGGTATTTTTCGGGATTATTAAACGCGGTTGGTCATTCAGATGTTCTGTCGACGCGCTGCGACGTTCCATCCATATAAATATGCCGGATTAGTACCCCAGAAGAGGAGCTTCTTTTCTCTCGGGGCAAAGCGATTTTTTTCGAAAAACCAAAGTCTGCCTCAACGCCTGCACTCTTGTATGGCGCCGACTCTGTCCCGTACTCTTGCTTGTGGTATCCTGCTTGGTAATGACCAATTATATGGATTACTTACTGTTACGGTAACAAACTGTAGGTGGCCTGCCATTGATTGTGAGGCTCGGCGACTCGGCTTTGCGCAAGTTCTTTTAACGACATAATAGTCCGCCTCTGCCTCCCTCAGGTTTCACAGCGAATTAGGATATTCCCTCGCATGGTGACAGCTGCGCTCGACGCTATATGTGCCGGGTGTCAGTCATCCCTCAAGCGAGTCCTTTCTATGTTGCCACTCTCCTGTCCAAATTTCGGGTGTGTGAACTATTGGCCGTAAACCTCACGGCGTTCAGTGCGTCATTCTCGGCGCAACTCGTCCTTCGACGAAGCCGCACCCCCCACCCACACTACCCTCCCGTTACGCACACTCGCATCATTTCCTTCTCGCTGACAATGCAAACTGCTTCTCCCACTCAGAAAACGGTCCTGTCCCCTGGTGCGTAATTACAGTGCTCTCGAGATGCTTGCCTCCCCGATACGAAAAGCGTACTTGTCGCTGAAGGTTCGCTGTATTTGATCGAATTCAGGCTAAATGAAAAAAATTCGCTCGTGACTTACTGCATCTCGTCCTATCAATTAGAGACAGAGATCGGATCTTCTCGTGGCGAGGGCGAGATGGGTTTGGGTCGTCTCGAATGCGTGTGTTCGTTAGCGCGTTCCAGCTCCCTTTCTGCACGACGAACTTTTCGGTGCCCTCATCTCTCCTCTTTCCGCCGCATTTGTCTGTGACTCAGCCATGCAGCCTCTTGCCCTTAGTCGTGTTCGTGCCGAAGGCAGCCTTGCTGCGTCCTTCCGTCCCAGTGCTATTCCAGCGATCCCCAGTGGCTTCCTGTACGTACTGACATTGTATTTATTACTTTTAAAAGTAAGACGCTGAATGCGCTCGCGTGGGTAAACACGTGCGGACTCGCCGTTAATAAGTTCCAGTGCACTTTCGTCTCCATCGAGAGCTATGGTTCCCGACCACTTAAGAATGTGTCCTTTCGGGGTCATTTCCTCTTTGGCTCCTCGATTTAATTGCGCGTTGGCAGTACTTTCGGGCGTATTCTAGCTTTCGTCATTCTTTCGAGTGTACTTTATAGTGTAGCGCGGAATTTGTCACCCGTGGGAGCACCTTTTCTCGGAAAGCCTTGCCGGAGCCTTTCGGGGGTCGGGCCTCCCATCGAACGAGTTAAGTTTACCTTATTACAAGTAACAGCATGTTTCCAAGCAGTCGCAGGCGGATCAACGTACTAAGGTGTAAGAAAAAGTCACTCAGTTAGTCATCACATGCTTTTTCGCGCTTATTGTAATGGCATTCAGACAAATGTGCTTTGTCTTGTTGTAATGGCCCTTTCGACGTTCAGTGGGAATTAAACCAAGGTCGCGGTAATCCGGTTACTATTTTAACCCACGACGTAATTTTGAATAAAACGAAGGGATGTATATCGTGCGGTAGATCCTTTCGTGGAAAACTAGTAACAAAGAAAGAAGAATAAGATCGTGCTTTTACAGATTTTTTGCTGTGTGCGGCACCGAAGAAAAATACTTCCCCAATTTCATAGAGAAATGTCGGACCAGTAGCCGTTTTGTGCCGCTCTCGCCCTTTGCTTGCTTAGAGCTCTTGGAGCTTGTGTATTTCCGTGGAATTCGTTGTTACGCACATGACACTTATCGAACCAAAATATGGCCGGATTCTCAGAGCGAGAGGTGTGGTGAAGGTGAGGTCGGCACTGAAAATAGCCCATCTTCATTGCGAAGCACGACAGTAGCCCGTTTTTTTGCTCTCCGCTCTCGCCCTTTGCTTGTTTTTAAGATGTGCTAAATTACCTTCAATGGAAAATATTCCGTGTAGCAGCACAGAGAACCGTTGGTCGACCGCACTTCCGTATGTCGAGTGAAGGTGAGTTCGGCCACAAAAAATAAACCCATGGTTCTTCTCAAATTGCGATTGTCTGAACAGTCAAGGCCGAGATATTTTTAAGACTCTCTCGTGCTCTCGTCGCCACTCTGTTGCCTTGTTAAATTGGTGTATTTCCAGTGACTATCTCTGGTGATACCGTGGACTTTGTGGCAACAAGACCACGTTGGCCACCCTCTGAATAGAGGGCCAGGTGTGGTGAGATATATGAAGTTCGGCACTAAAATTAGCGCCCTACCCAAGTGTCTTTGCTTGCGAAGGCACTGAACAGCTCAGCCCGTTCTTGTGTGCAGCGCTCTCCGTACCCTGTGTGCTATAAGTTTTAAAATTGTGTATTTCAGGAATTCTGTGTAACAGGCTCCAATGGTAATCTCGGATTCCGATTGTAGGCTCGAGGTGAGGCAGAGGTGAAAGTCGGCTCACAATAAAATAAGACCCGATGTCTTCTCTCATTGCGAGAGCAACTGGGAGCGAGCCCTAGTAGGCCTTTTTGTTCCGCTCTCGCCTATTGCTTTCCTGTTTAAATTTGTGTATTCAGAATCGTGTACGGCACAAGAAACGGAAAGCCGATTTGTAGAGCAAATGGTGAAGGTGAGTTCGGGCACAAAAATAGCCCATTCTTCATTGCCGTAAGCACGACAGTAGGCCGTTTTGTGCCGCTCTCGCCCTTTGCTTTGGCTTAAATTTGTAGTATTTCAGGAATTCGGTACGGCACAAACACGTGACCGATGTAGGAGCGAGGTGAAGGTGAGTTCGGCACGAAAATAGCCCCATTCTTTCATTGCGAAAGCACGACAGCTAGCCTTTTGTGCCGCTCTCGCCCTATTGCTTGTTTAAAAATTGTGTATTTCAGGAATATCGTGACGGCACAAAGAATACGGCGTTACCTATTTGTCCGGAGGTAGAGTCGAGGTGAAAGTGTGACGTGGAGTTCGTCACAAAGAAAGTGATGTCGTCCGCATTCCCCCCCAATTCTTCATGGGAAGCACGACGAACAGATAGGCCCACTGTTGTTGGTGCGCTCTCGCCCTTGCTTGGTTTTAAAATTTGTGTCATTTCCAGGAATTTCGTTGTATCTGGCACACAGCGAACGGACCGATTGTAGAGCGAGGTGAAGGTGAGTTCGGCACGAAAATAGCCTTATTCTCAGTTCGCGAAGCGACGGACCCTGTAAACGTCGCCGTTTTGTGCCGCTCTCGCCCTTTGCTTGTTTCCTTGTGTATTTCAAGCGATCCGGCTGTACGGACAAGGAAGAGCTGTTGAACCGATATGTAGCGTGGAGCGAGTGAAGGTGAGCTCAGAGGCTGATCGAAATCCGATATACCTTAGCCATTCCTTTCCATCTCTCTCGGCGACCACGCAGCCCCTCAACGGGATACAGCCTAGCGCCGTTTTGTGCCGCTCTCGCCCTTGTGCCTGCTAAAAGGAATTTGGAACTGTATTTCAGGAATTCAGGTGTACGGCACAAGCACGTGACCGATTGTTAGAGCAGATACGATATGACGAAAGTTTGCGAGTTCCTCTCGGCAACGAAAATAGGCCGCCCTTCTTCATTGCGAAAGGCGACGCGACAAAGTAGCCCCGGTTATATCTCAGTCGCAACCGCTCTCAGAGTCCCTTTGCTGTTAAATTGTGTGCTATATTTTGCAGGAGCAATTCGTGTTACGGCACATAGGGAACGGACGATTTGTAGACAGCTGTACGTGAAGGTGAGTTTCGGCACAAAAATAGCCCATTCTTCATGCGAAGCACGACAGCTATTGGCCGTGTGTTGTCCGTGACATCCTTGGCCCTCCATTGCTGCTGATCCCGTTTGTGCCCTTCAGGAATTCGTGTACGGCGACAGAGTACACGTGACCGATTGTAAGAAGCGAGTCGTGTAGAGCGTGAGTTCGGAGCACGAAAATAGCCACATTCTCCCACTTCGCGAAGCCACGACATAGCCCGTTTTTGGGCCGCTCTCGCCCTTTGTGCTTGTTTAAATTTTTGTGCATGTATTTCAGTGCCCATAATCGTGTACCCGGTCATCATTGTAAAATCGTGACCGATGTCGTCCTTTTTGTACGTAATGCACATCCCGGTTAACCCCTGAAGTTCGGGCACAAAAATAGCCCATTCTTCATTGCAAGAGCGACATTTCGGCCCCTGTTTTGTGCCGCTCTCGCCCTTTCTTGCTTAAATTGTGCTCTGAAAGTTATCGTTTTAAAATCTCTGGTGACCCCCCCTCCCCCGTGCAACGTTCTCTCCTCAACTTCTATATTCCGCTGCGCTCTCCAAATACCTTCAATTTTCTCTTCCTTTATTCCTTATTTCTCAGCCTCCTCTGTGCTATCTGCTCTCCCAAAATTCAGAGTGCCTTCGCTTTTTGTTCTAAATTTGGTGGAGGGGGGAGGTGGCGCCAGAAAGTGTGGGATAAGAACAATTATTGGAAATTCTGGGTATCCATACCCCTCTCCAGGCAATTGTAAATCGATGGCATTCTGAAAGTTACTTTTATTATACCCCCCCCCCTCCCGGCAGTCCGTTCTCTTCCAAAACTTCTACATCCTGTCGTACTTTCAGAGTGCCTTCGATTTTTGTTCTTCTAGGGGGGTCGTGGGACCAGAAGGTCTGGGACAAGAAAAATTGTTAGAAATTCTGCAAGTATTAGCATGAGAATGTGAAGGGCTGCAACCACTTTGGATGACATTGCACCGGCGGTTTGGGGGGCGGGGTGTATCGAATATCCCCCAGGAGATTGTAAAACATTGGCACTCTGAAAGTTACTGTTTTGATATCCCTGGGGGTTATTCCAGACTCTCCCAAAGTATTTTCTCTTCCAAAAGTTCTACATACCGTCGCGCATTCAGAGTGCTTTCTATTTTTCTTCTAGTTGTTTTGGGGGGTGGGGGTGCAGACCGTGGCACAGAAAGCCTGGAACAAGAAAAATTGTTGGAAATTCTGCAAGTGGGTGACATCATAGCAGCAGGGGGACTATGGAATATCCCCTCAGGAGATTGTAAAACGGTGGCACTCTAAAAGTTACCCCCCCCCCCCCCCCCCCCAGAGTACTCTTCCAAAACTTCTACATCCCGTCGCTCTTTCAGCGTGCTTTCGATTTTACTTCTACTTTTGGAGAGTGGCGGAGGGGGAGGGGGCTAAGATCATAGTACCGGAGGGTGAGACAAGAAAAATCATATACGTTTTGGGGAATATAATATCGGGGGGTCAAAATACCCCCCAGCAACGGGAACTTTGACAGCTCTCCAGTGATCATCCTCACCCCAACAGTTACAGTCCTCATTACTTGTCATTATTATTCTCGAGGAAGAGCCATTACAGTTTCTCTTCCCTGGGGGGTATTCCCCCAGACCCCCCGGTTATGTATACTTTCCTCATGATATTCACAGTACCCACTGCGGGTGATCATTTTTTTGGAAAATCTATGGAAGCTCATTTTCCTGGAGGAGTTGGGCTATGGAATTCTCTCTGGAACATGACCACCACAAATATTGATAGTTTTATACGTTTTGAAACGAGAACGTACCACCGGGGGGTCTGGGGCAGGAACGGGAACTTTGACAGCTCTCCGGTGATCATCCCCATCCCCCAGGACGTTGTCAACCGGTGGCACTTTTGAAAGTCATCGTTTGATAACACCTGGGGATTTCAGACCTCTCGGTGGTAAGTTCTCTCTCAAAACTTCTACATCCCGTCGCGCTCCCAGAGCGCCTTCGATTTTTCTTCTATTTTGGAGTGGCGAGGGTTGAGGGGGAGAGATTGTAGCACCAGAGTGCGTGGAAGTTTTTGAAGAATTATCATGAGAAGATGGGGAGCTGTAAATGTTTTGTATGATATCATAGTACGGAGGGGGAGGGGGGCATCCTAGGATTAACATTTTCTTTCATGGTTGTTTTTTACCTCTACAAAGAGATTGAACTTGACACAGTTCATTAGTATCCCATCAGAGGGCACCATCACAAACTGCAATAAACAGCAAAACCAAGAACAGTAGCTGTGGTCTCGTTCCTCAAAGGTAGTTTTGGAAGCTTTTTTTTACCCCTCCTCCCCCTCGGCTCGTACCCCGGTACTGGGGGGGGGATACCAGACGATCTGGGACAAGAAATTCGATGGAAATTTTTCAAGAATGAATTACCATGGGAGCATGGAGGGCTGTATACGTTTTGAGTGACATCATAGCATAGCCCCAAGACAAAACAATGGCACTCCGAAAACAGCGTTTTATAATGCTGGGGGTGTTTATTCATATTTCTCAGACCCCCGGCGCTATGTGCTCTCCGGAAGCCTCTACATCTCACCACGCTCTCTCAGTGCTTTTGATTTTTTTTTATTTGGGGGGGGGGGATCATAGCGCTAGAAGGGCAAGAAACATTGTTGAAAATTCTTCAAGAATTATCATGAGAACGTGGAGAGGTTGCAAATGATTTGGGTGACATCATAGCACCGGGGGTTACCGTTTTGATATCTCTGGGGGGTATTTCAGCCCCCCCCCCCCCACGAAAGTCTTCCAAAGCTAGTTCTACACATCCCGTCGCGCATTCAAAGTGTTTTCTATTTGTGTTCAAGTTTGTTTGGGGTGCGGGGAGGGGGGAGGTCGTAGTTCCGGAAGGTTTGGGGCAAGAAAAATTGATGGACATTCATCAAGAATTATTATCAGAACATAGACGTTGTTGGTGATATAACACGGAGGGGTATGGAATGGCCCCCCAGGAGATTGTGAAACAGTGCCACCCTGAAAGTTACCGTTTTATAATCCCTGGGGATAGACTTCGTGGTGATACATTCTCTAAACCTTCTACTTTCCGCTGCGCTGCTCAGAGTGCCTTCGATTTTTTTTGTTGAGTGGGGGGGATTGTAGCACCAGAGGGTATGGAAATTTTTCAAGAATTATCATGTAAATGTTGTTTATCACATTACGGTTTGGGAGGGAGGGAGGGGGAGTCCTAAGATTATCATTTTTTTTCATGGTGTTTTTTTTCATGGTGTTTTTTTCCCTTAACATACGAGATTGAACTGTTTCCAGCGTGTTCAGATTTGATTACAGCTTCTGCATGCACCCGCACGACAAAACCTCCATTCGTACTGCACACCCTCCCCCACACACTCGATCCACCGTACGCTATAAACGCACTTAAATTACTTTGTAGGTCATGAGGTTAGAGTCGTTTAAAGCGCGATGGATAGGAACGGACAACAAACTGCTTCAACCTCATCGGTCGCCGTCAATTGAAAGCAACGACGACGACGCTCGCATCAGATTGGACGATCCCTCTCTTCGTTTACACATAGCCGAATCGCCCAGTCCGCAGTCCGATACGATCGAGTTCTTCGACGTGTGCAAGGAATCGAAACGTGATAGTAAAGTAGAATTAGATTCGAACATGAACGCGCACGCGCATCAGTGCGTGTGACGTCACTCGGCGATGTTATTAGGACAATTTGTTACTTAGGTAGTTTAAGTCGTCGACGTAAACTCCCTTCTAAAATCATACGTAAACAAATTTGGAAGATTTATAAATATCTCAGAGGTGATATCTGAAAATTTATGAACCGGGATCCCACTTATTTAAAAATATCTTTAGGATTTTTTCGATGGCATTAATTCAAATATCGTGATATTTCGTACTTACCGCATTTAATCTGAGATATTTCTGCTCTTCCATGTACGGTTGCTATTTAAAAGAGAGAAGGGCGTTTTCGTGACGCCGTTAAGGGAAGTGTGATTTCTACCAGGGTTTTTTTTAGCACCAATTCTTTGGGGGTTTATTTATTTCATTTTTGTATCACTACTCGCTTTCGGTCCCTCGACCGACCTACTTAACTTACGAAATGTAAAGGACAAAATATCAAGATAGTCGTTTGATAGGAAGTGAAACTTTTTTAAATGTTTATTGTAGATACAAGAATGTTTCTAGTAAAACTAGTGAGTAATTTAGTCGTGGTATGCACACATTCGGGTGCCTCCTTCGTCATTCCTTAATACAAGTATTTAATATGTGATTGTTTGTGCATTATTATATTGTTAACAGTATTTCTTATAGGTTTTATTAATGATGTTTTATGTTTTGAGCGTTAATTTTTTTAAAATTAAGCTTAAGTTTAATTTTATCATCGGCATTTATTTTCCGTCCATTTATTTTAGTAATGATGTATCTTCATTAAATTTCACCAATTGATATTAAAGATGCATTTTAATAATAAGGTACACGTATGCTGTGTGTGTTGCCTATCAACAAGTAGTTGAAAGCCAATACAGTTCAGCGTTCGTAGTACCAGAGGGTGTGGACTGTGGAGCAAGATTAATCGTTGGGAATTCTTGAAGAATTACCATGAGAACGTGGAGGGCTGAAAACGTTTTGGGTGTATATCACGCAATACACGTATATATTACCATGACAACTTGGCGAGCTACCGGGGTGTGGGGTGGGGGTGTATGGAATACCACCAGGAGATTGTGTTGTGTTTTATGGTCTCTGGAGTGAATTCTACTCCCTCCAGACCCCCTCTGGTGCTATGCTCTCTCCCAAAACTTCTACATCCCGCCGCGCTCTCAGAGTAAACCTTTTATTTTTCTTCTAGTTTTTGGAGAGGGGGAGATCGTAGCACCAGAGGGTCTGGGACAAGAAAAATGAATGGACATTCTTCCGACAGTTACCATAAGGACCTGGAGGGCTGTAAATATGTTGGGTAATAATATTATATAGTAGTGGGAGATATAGAATACCCCCAGGAGATTGTAAAAGGGTGGCCAGACCCCTGATGCTACATGCTCCCAAACCATGAACTTATAAATTAAGATGGACTGCTAATGGTGAATTGACAAATGACACCTACATGGGGGCAGCCATGATGTCCACTCACTTGGCGGGAAATTCAAATCGACTAATAAACAAACATTAACCTCACGTTTTCTAAATAAATTACTGTGACACATGTCATTTTCCAAGGCTGCAATAGTCTCAGCTCTAGGAAAATTCCCCTAGAAAATTTCTAAAACGTGCACATTATGGCCTCGCTCATGCTAGGGCCATTTCTACCTCTATGCAACTGTTTGATCTTAATTTAGAAGTTCGCGTCCCAAACCCTCTACATCCCGCCGAGCTCTCAATGTCTTTGATGTTTCTGCTACTGGGGGGGGGGGGGGGGGTCTTTGCACTTGAATGCGCGGAGGCTGGCAGATGTCGCCCTACTGTGATGCAGTTGAGCTACATTTACCATTAATAAAACCGGGCTTACCTACTGAAGTTCGGTGGCTGGCACCTTCGTCTTGGAGAGGAAGTTTCAATGTCACCCTGGTCAAGTTCACGTAGGATCGATGGTTATAAGTGGCCCCCAGGATGTCCCAGAAAGTTTGGTCCGTAAAGGCAGTCAGAGTTTGTCCCTTGGGGTCCTTCCTGTGTACCACACGCCAATTGCTGGTTGTAACTCCAGCCTTTTCAGGATCTTCTCCAGTCCCGCGGATGAAGACGTGTGCCCTTACTGGGTTTGGGTGAATCCTCGCTTCGACCAATCAAGGGTACCTGGTCTACGCACGTGATCAACAGCGCTCCCTCTCGGTGACGGCACTCCGTGAATTTGGGTGACAAAGTGTCGACCGTCGCTCCTCTTCCGAAAACGTTCCCTCCAGGTCTTTATGGACAGTATTCTGAAACCTGAAGCTGCTTCGTTAAAGGTTCTGGTTTCCGTTTTTCCCTTTTCGAGCTACTTCCGTTGAGAGTGCTACCATCAGACCGGTGTCTTCAGTCAGCCTTGGTAGAGGTGCGTTTATTGATCACTTAGAGCTCCCACAGGCTGTCCCACTTCACCAGATGGGGGGTCAGGTTGCTTAGAGCCCCCTGGTTCTTGCCTCATCTTTTTTAGCTTCCGCCGCAGAGTTTTGAAGGCTCCTCCAGTACCAGGTGCTCCGGGGGCAGTAGTTGGTTGTTTTTGTTTTTCCTGGTCCAGGTTAGTGCATGGTATCTTGGACGTGATCACATGTCAGCACAGTTTAGCCTGGTAGGGTGCCACCCTTCGGAAGTCTGGGGGTTAAATTTTGCATTCTGGGAAATAAGGGATGGTCCTTCACAGTAGAACTTATGTACCAGTTTGGAGGGGGAAGTAACCAGGTGCGTACCTGGTATTACCCAGCCATTAGAGCTAATAATTTATTACTGATTTATTGAAGGATATACACACTTACATGACATAACAAAAGAAGAACAATATCTAAGCGTTGAAAAATAAAAGGACGAACAGGTGTGTTTGTTTCACTCGCGCAAGTAAAAAAGAAACGTAATGTCAAGGTTGGCTCGTGCCTTACTTATTTATATTTAGACGAGTTTGGTAGTTGGGAGTTTAGTGCCAATTATTTCATTCTACATAGTATGTGTGTCAATGATAGAATGAGAACAGAAATAGATGCCGTGCACACACTTACACATTTTTTTGTGCATAACAAACGTCTATTTTGTAACGTTTTAAGGTTTTTATTTATTTATAAATCGTGAAATAGTAAATTATCCTGCGTGTTATGCAAGGGCAGTGGAATGCAAACCTATAAATACTGTAAGCCCCCTCTCTCTCTCTGCTTCTCTAGTTTTCCTCCAGTTCCTCTTAAGCTTCGCTCAAGTGCTTCTTCTTCAGCTTTCTTCATATCCCTACTAAATTCCTTTCTTGCCCTCTGTTGTGCATCCCAGGTTACTCTTAAGGTAATTTTTTATGTTTGCACATTGCCCATTAGTTCCCTCCTCCTATGGGTGGCTTTCAGAGTGCCACTGCTTTAGGTACAATATCTCTTCTTGCAAGCTCTTATTATACCCCCCAGACAACGGTGCTATGATATCGCTCAAAAGGTTTACAGCTCTCCGTATTCCCATGGTAATTATTAAAAAATTTCTATATGGATTATTTTTGTCTCATACCCCCCCCCCCCACACCCGCCCGTCACATAGAAGAAAAATCGAAAGCACACTGAGAGCGCCTGGATGTAGAAGTTTTGGGAGAGAACGATAGTGTTTTCATAGCTCTCCTTGGAAGCTGCGCATAGGGTTAAGGGTTCTACATGTTTTGGGAGATGTGGGGTATTGAACACCCTACCTCCCCTGGCAAAGAGGTCCCGGCGTTCTCTTTCGAAAACGATTAAACAAGTCTTTATAGTGGTTTAAACGTTTTTGGGGACTGGCGGTTTTGGAGAGAAGAGCTTCGATGGCTCTCCCTTAAAAATGATTATACAAACGTTAAGGGGTGTCCTGTCCACGTTTTCGGCAGAGGAAGTAATACAAGCGTTTAGTGCTCGAGGATCTACGCTACCTTCCTAAAAACCTACGCATGGATACGCCTCTGAATTATGGTAAAACTTTGAGCATTTTAGAGCCAGTTTCGTAAACGTTATTAGTCTTAAATTATTAAAAATAAAATTTGATCAATAAAGTGCAATCTGGCCCATCTTTCCATTATGTTCATGTTTTCAGACCAGGACCCATGTGTTCATGTGAACGGAACAAAATAATTGTTACGCCACTGGTGTGCTATTAACCTAATTTGGTGGCGCCATCCATAAGCACCGAGCGGAAGTTCGAAAAATTAAGGTATTTTTCGGGTTTAAACGCGTGTGAAGGTCATCACAGGTAGATTTTGGAAGCGATTTTTCGAAAAACACGTAACGTTGGTCTCTATATCGGTACCGAGGCCCTGGGAAGCACATGACGAGGGTAACTGCGACGACTCGTCACCCCCCCTCCACTTCCCACGCAGAACGTCGTCTGTAAGTGCCCAACGTCTCTTCCACTTGCAGTTTTGTGCGCGTCTTGTCGAGAGGTGTCTTTAGCCGTTCCGCAAGAAGATTTTAAAAAAAAGATGCCGTCTCTATCAGATCCAGTGGCTTTCGCCAAAGATTTCCTCGCCGGCGGTATTTCGGCTGCCATTTCGAAGACTGCGGTCGCTCCCATCGAACGAGTAAAGTTACTTTTACAAGTACAGCATGTTTCCAAGCAGATCGCAGCGGATCAACGTTACAAGGGTAAGAAAAAGTCACTCAGTTAGTCATCACATGCTTTTTCGCGCTTATGTAATGGCCCTTTTCGACGTCAGTGGGAATTAAACCAAGGTCGCGGTTCGGTTACTTTTAACCCACGACGTAATTTGATAAAACGAAGGGGATTTCTAATCAAAATTTAATGGGGAAACTTCCATAGTTCGGCGACTTCCGTTTTTTACAAAATGGCGGATTCACGTGTACTGGCAATCGATAATCCGAAAGGGTTGCCCCCATTACGTAACGCGGTCATATTTTACAAAAATTTCGAATTTCGCATGCCCTCTCTGACGTGGACTTTGTCCTGCCAAGTTGGCATTGATTTACAGTTGCATAACCTTAGCCTACTGAGATACTTTTCGTTGTTAGCGAATTAAAGGTTAGGAATGGGACACTAATGCGTTCTAATTGCAGGTATGGTGGACTGTTTCGTCCGCATTCCACGAGAACAGGGCGTACTCGCCTACTGGCGCGGTAACTTGGCGAACGTGATCCGTTACTTCCCGACCCAGGCCCTCAACTTCGCCTTCAAGGACAAGTACAAGCAAGTCTTCTTGAGCGGAGTCGACAAGCACACACAATTCTGGCGTTACTTCCTTGGTAACTTGGCATCGGGCGGTGCCGCCGGTGCAACCTCACTTTGTTTCGTCTATCCTCTCGATTTCGCTCGTACCAGGTAAAGTAAAATTTGTGTGTGGTTGAGTGAAGGGGGATGCCGAATCTAAAAAAATTTTAAGGGTGCTATGACAACAAAATCTAGTGCACTGTTATTGTCATGATCACAAGTCCTGGGGGGGGCAGTCTGAGGTAATTGGGGGTGATCTACCCTCGAAGTACATTTTTCATTAAAAATTTGGCAACCTTGCAGATTGGCTGCCGACACCGGCAAAGCCGCTGGCGAGCGTGAATTCTCCGGTCTTGGAAACTGCCTTACAAAGATCTTCAAATCCGACGGTCTCGGCGGTCTATACAGAGGTTTCGGGGTGTCTGTACAAGGTATCATCATCTACCGTGCCGCCTTCTTCGGTTTCTACGACACCGCCAAAGGCATCCTGCCCGATCCCAAAAACACACCGATCATCGTCTCGTGGGCCATCGCTCAGGTAAGGACTCGTTCGCTTTCGGAACAGACGCTCAATTTTTCGTTTTAGACTGTAACGACAATCGCGGGTATCGTCTCGTATCCATTTGACACTGTCCGTAGACGTATGATGATGCAGTCCGGCCGCAAGAAGACCGAGATCGTCTACAAAAGCACGATGCACTGCTGGGCGACGATCGCGAAGACCGAAGGCGGAGCCGCCTTCTTCAAGGGAGCGTTCTCCAACGTGCTCCGTGGAACTGGTGGCGCCATCGTACTAGTGCTTTACGACGAAATCAAAAATCTACTATAATTAGTTAACGATAATTTATGCAAGCGGGATATACAAATTTTTCCAAACGAAAATTTAGTCGAAAAGTATTTTAAATTGTGCGCCGCCTCTTGACATTCCGGCTGTAAGGCACATCGACGGTCGTCCCGCCGCACACTTTAAAATGCGTAGGTTAAAAGTAGAATTAATTTATTTCATCAAAAACTCAGTGAACAGAGAAATTGTACGTTAAGTATTAAAACGACTTACTTCATCATAATCCGAGAACGTTTCGACAGCAGCAGCTCCTCCTCTAGGATTAACATGCAATTGGTCATTACAATTTTCTTTCCGTTTTTTGGGTTAGCAGTTTCAACTGTAAATATAACTGTAGCGACATCAAATTGTTTTAACAAGCACTTACTTTTAGGGCTACTTGTTAAGTGTTACCAAGTTTGTTTATATTTTCGTTCGACTTTTGGCGAACTTAATAAAAACTGTAATAACAGGTGGTGGCCATCTTGATTCTAACCTCTTATTCATTTGTTTCCTAATGCTGCCAGATGGCAGTGTAGGATTGGTGGTGGTTGCCGTTGGATTCCGGTTCCCTTCTGAAAAGAAGGCAGTAATTGTTTCTTTTTAGTTTTCAGTATGGTTTGCGTTACCCGATGGCGGAAGGGGCGTTATCAAGGAGCTCTTCAAATTCCTGGGGTAGCTCTTTGAGTAGTTGGGTTAGGAGGATGGGAGGGAGTTTGGATTTTTGCGGAAGGGATCCTGTGGCGGATTTATTGCAAGGGATCATAACTACTGATGAGGAATGCCAGGGGGTTGGATGGAGGGGATGTAAATGGTGGATAACATAGTCTGTTTATGTTGCTGTATTGCGTCCACTGTCGACAATCGTTTGGGGGAGTCTTGACTGAAAAAGGGGTTGGTGGGGGACAGCTTGATCTCCGAAAGTAAAATAGCAACTGTTAAACCACCAGTTTAAATTTGAGATCGTAGTTGGGAAGGTTGTAGATGTCTGGCAAATAAATCTGCCTTCTCTTTGTCTGTGGATAGGTACTATGTTGCCTCCTTGATTTGTTGGACTTCTGTTGGCGCCAGTATCAACGACCGTCTTTGTAGTCCAGAGCGGAAGTCGCCCTGACAAGACCCAGTTCTCTTTTGTCAGTCGTGTAGTTTCCCGTCTGAGTTTCTTGTATTCTGTCTTGAGCGCGACGTCACGGGATCGTATAGGAATTGGCGAAATACTCTTCTCTTCTCCCTATAATGAGAGTATCTTATCTGGCGATAAAGATGAGGGGGTTTCCTAGGGACGACGATGGAGGCTGCATCGGTAATGGTAGTAGTAACTTAGTAAGTGTCAACTGCCGAGTCGACGTCGTGGGGTGTTACGAGAGAGGGATGGGGCGGAATTGCCAGTATCCCACCCGCCTAGTGCTGCTTGCACCGAGTTACACCAGTGTATAACACCAAAACGCCCCATTGTAAACCCGGCTTTCGGCTTTGTAATGCGAAGTACGTCCGAAACGTCGAAAAGTGCCGGAAACCACCGATCAAGCTCCCTGAACGTCAAGGTTAAAAAAAAGGTATTTGGCAAAATGTTTGCAATAATTTTGGCCTTTTGGTTTAGTTTTTTGCGTTTTTGACTCTTATTCTCGTAGCCAAGATCGAAAGTGAACGTCATGCTTGGCAATTCGCGATTTTAGCGGCAAGTGTCAAAACGAAGACGAGCCGATCAGCTGCGACTCCATTTTTTTGTTTATTGAAATCAGCTGTTACCCGCGGTGTCTTCCCAAACTTGCGCAGCCCTAGAGAATATTTTTAGAAAAAGATGTTATCGTCTTAGCACGCCGCCTATAACCTTCCCCCTAACCCCGATTATTAACTGCTGTGATAGTGTCCTTTTCTGCAACGATGAACAACCAACAACGGAAATCGATATTTAAAGACATATACTATTATCCTTACGGCAACTGCAAAAACAACTTCTACCACTTTTACAACAACGCGAAAGGTAAGTGCAAAGGTTAAGGTCGTTAACGCATCCCCTGTTTTAGATAACTTGGACTTCATTCAGAGATTGAAATTGATCGGCCGTCTCGCGATCCACCAGGGCTGCGTTAACACGCTGTGCTGGAACGAGACCGGCGAGTACATCCTGTCGGGCTCGGACGATCAACGCCTGATGATCACGAACGGCCACACTTACAAGGTGCACGAAGATTATCACACGAGTCACAACGCTAACATTTTTAGCGCTAAATTTTTACCAAACACCGGCGACCGACAGATAGTATCGTGCTCCGGGGACGGCTTAATTTTACACACAGGTATCTCTTTAGCGGAACGTGTAGAATAGTGAGACAACCTTCTCCTCGGATAGTCCCGTTATGTTTAGTTATCATCGAAAGCGGAGATATCGACAAATTTGTCCTTGTGAGATTTATACAGAGTGTAGCAAAAGTTCCATAATTTGTGTTCATTCTTTTTTAGAAAACCTTAGATCTTTGCTGACCTGAGTTTGTTGTGGCATGTTTGTATGTACACGCTGTATAATACTTTCGAGAAAGAATGCGCTTCAAGTGATTTATCTCAATACTCTGACGCCATCTGTATATTTCTCCTGCAAGTTCGTTGTAGTTACATTGTCGGTAAAGTTTCCACTTCGTTTTTTTCTTATTTTGCTAGTAGAGATCATCCAAAGCATCTTTTAATTACAGTGACTTTACCAGACAGTGGACAATAGAGTGTCTAATTTTTGATTGGTTGTTGAAATCGGCGGCCATGTTGCTACATGTATAAATTAATGGTTGTTGTGTATTGTGTGTTGCCTACACTACAGTTGTATTGGGTGTATTGATATCGAATTTGAATTTTCGATGCAACCTGGCGACTGCCCCCCCCCCCCCCCGCTGGTAGGGAGAGTGCGACCGCGACGCCGTTTTTATGTAAAGTCGTAAATTCGTATCGAACGAAGCAGAGGTAACGAAAAAACTGTACGTTGCGCGCGATTAGCCCGCCCAGTGGCACGAAGGAGTATGGCGGGGGGCGGATTTTCTCCCGGAAACAATAGGGAAGGTGGAGGTTGTGAAACGTACGGGGGATGTTGAGACGCTTCGAATGCGCCATGTGTCGAGCATGCACCCCACCGCTCTCCTCCGCGGCATTGAGGGAAAGTCGAGAGATCGTAACCGGGAACGGGGGGAGGGGGGCGTATTGAGTTGGATTTTTAGCGTTGGTGTAATACTACACCCCCTCTGGAGGGCTAACTGTAAGGTAGGATAAGAATTGTTATTGTTATCACTCCCCCCCCCCCCCGCGCCGCGGGGTCGGTACTTTCAGAATCCGTACCTGTCAGGGGTGGGACTTTTCAAATTGTTTCGCCCCCCCCCCTCCTGTAGTCGGGGAGGGCGAGAAGTGTGACGCCGTCGCGACTGAAAATTCGTACTTAGCGGACGAAGCTGAGATCGGAAAAAAACTTGACGTTGCGCGCGAAGGGGCAGTGGGGTGTCGAGGGCGCGGGAAGTGGATCGCCTGGGAATGTTTCGAGAAAAAGTGCGTTTTTGGGGAGTATAACAAATTTTCCCCCGTGAAAGTTACGAAAGGGCGGAGGTTGGGAAACGTACGCGAGACGTCGTTACGCTTCCAACGCGTCGTGTGTCGTGCTCCCTCCCCGGCATGGAGTGAAAGTCGTGGGGTCGGAAAAGGGTAACGGCGCGTGTCGAGTTGCGGTTTGTTTGCGTTGGTCTTGTAGTTCGAGGACTTTTCCGAGGTGCCGGGTCGGGGATCGATCGTTGGGGGAGGGAGCAAGGAGGCGCGAGGAACGTTTTGGAGGCACTTTTTCGCGAAGAATTTTTTCATAAACCAAATCCACTGGCGGGTGGAGGAGGAGGCAGGCGAATCTAGTTACGATTTTGTGCGTCGACTTCGCAGTCCCACATTGCGCTTCCTAGGTGTCGGGGCCCCCCCCCCCTCCCCCAATTGTTCTCCCCGCGCAACGTAGAGGTAAAGTTATGATGCCGTAGCGGGAGAACGGGGGGACGTATCGAGTTGCTGTTTTGTGCGAGGGCTTCGTAGTTCAATTGCATCATCGAGGTGTCGCCCCCCCCCCCCCCATTGGTTATTGATGGCAATTTTGTCGTTTATTTGTAAACTACGGGCACTAGAACTATGCCGGTTTTTTAAGTTGGATTCTTATACCACTCGGTCACGTTTTAAAATCGACGGCGATTGGAACAAACGCGCGAGGCGAGGCGCCGCAGCCGTCGAAGTCGAAAGATCAAATTAAAAATTAGTTAGTACAGATGTTTGGCGGGGATTAGAGGTACCTTTTTGAGGTCAATGTTATCTAAAAACTTTAAAGGTAAAACCATCTTTGTTCCCCGCTATTGCCCGAACTCCTGCATTCGTTATCTTGCACGTGGCGTTAGTAAACAACGCCAATTAATTTGTCCAATAACCTTTTGACAAAATATCTGACCAGGTAAAACTTTTACCTTACATCGAAGTTACGATTAAATATTTCCTCATTTATTTCTGAATTACAATCAAATGATTTAAACAATTAATAAAAAATAAAAATTGGTACATAGGCTCGGTATCGACGGCTGCGCCGCCTCACCTCACGGTACAATTATGTTTCAGAGACGACGCGGCGGCTTCGCTGCATTTCCCAAAACTTCAATGCGCTTTAGGGCGTCCTTCCCTTTTCCCCTATAAGGTTGTCTCACTATACTAGCATGTACACGACGTCGAAGCTGGCCCTAATCAGTTTCTAAAGATTTAGGTAACCCTCAGGAAACGTTATACAACCAGTTCACCTGCCATATGGGTACCACATACGAAGTTATAACAGTGCCTAACGATCCCTTCACGTTTCTAAGTTGCGGCGAAGACGGCACCGTCCGCTGGTTCGACTTACGCCTGAAAACCAAGTAAGAATCTAGTCGCTAGCTTTTAAGTATTAATTTCTGTACACGAATTAGGTGCAAGAAGGTTCGTTGTTGCGATGATATTATCATTGTGAATTCTCGCGCAGTCACTGCGCTAGTAATTAATCCGTTAGCACCGCATCACTTGGCGATCGGCTCGTCCGATTCCGCCGTGCGAATTTTCGATCGGAGATTCCTAGCCACTCCCGCGAGTGGTAAATTTACCCCACCTGCCGTCTTCCACTAATTTTAAATCGTCTCGTTTGCAGATAAGACGGCAACCGAACCGTTTTGTACCTTTGTCGCGCCGGACCTGGACGACCGACCGTATCGTATCACTTCGTTGGGATACAGCCTCGACGGGCAGGACGTGCTCGTTTCGTACTCGTCGGACCACTTGTATTTGTTTAACGTGCAGGTGCGTTCATTTGTAAGTCGGACTTGACTTTTTATCGTTCAGGGTGTAGGAGGATCGGGTTACGCAACTGCAGAGGAAGCTGAAGACGAGGGAGTCGAGTAAGTGTAAAAAGTGCGAGAAGCGGGAGAATTTGTCGCCGCCTGTCAGGCGGCTGAGGTTGCGAGGTGATTGGTCGGATACTGGGCCCGATGCTCGACCCGAAAGCGACACTACCACCACAGTCAGTAAGTGATTCTCTCTTTTGTAATTTTTTGGGATTCGTACGTTCTCTTCAATCGACGCGCTTTCAGACATTGGCCAAGCGCGACCTCAGCTCCACTCGACCCTTATGCAGCGGATGACGGACGTACTCTCGCGCATGCTCAACGACCCGCTAACCCGGGCAGCTTTGAGCGCCGGCGGCGAAGACTCTCTAGACGAAAACGAGCAGGACGCCGCGCCGGTGCAGTCGAGCGAAGACTCGTCGGACGCCATCACCGGTCTGGACGAAACCGGCAGCATGGAGGTCGACGATTCCGCAAACGCCAGGTAAGAAAAATGACGCGCGATCAGCTCGCCCACGATTTTGTCTCGCGCAGCACCTCGGAGACGGCCACCGCCGACTCGGAAGCGTCGAAACCGTCCGAATACAAATCGCCCGTAATGAGTCATCTCCGCAACCACCTCACGACGCTGAGAAACTTGCGGCACGGTTTCATCGAGCAGCACGGATCCGAACCGTCGGTTAGCTTGAAATATTCGGAGCAAAGCACTTCGAATTCGACGATCAGCCTGCGTGCCGGCAACGAGGTCGATCGGGCCAACTTTGCCGAGGCGACGGCCGCTTCGACGTCGGGCGCGGAAAGTGCGACAGCGGAAGAACAAAAGATGGACGAGGTATGTCTCTGCTAGTTGCAGAATTTTTCTAAAACGACTCAATTATCGCAGCTGTCAGACGTTGAATTGGATTACGAATCGGACGGCGACGAAACGGCCGAGGAACCGAAAGGGGGCGGCACGTACGAGGCGCAAATGAAAATGAAGTACGTGGGTCATCGCAACGCGCGAACGATGATAAAGGAGGCGACGTTTTGGGGCAACGATTACGTCATGTCCGGCTCGGACTGCGGTCACATCTTCATCTGGGACCGAAAGTCGGCCGACCTGAAGATGCTGCTCCAGGCCGATCAGCACGTCGTGAACTGCCTGCAGCCGCATCCGACGTTGCCGATTCTGGCGACGAGCGGCATCGACCACGACATCAAGTTTTGGGCGCCGACCGCCGAGGAGTCACTGTTTGATCAGAAAATGGCGGACGATGTAAGTGCTGCCCTCTGTTGCGTTTGTTTGACAACTCCGCCTCTCTCCTCCCCGCTCGTCTTGATTGGGAATTTTCTGAGAGAGTACACTCGGTCGCATATTACCAAAAATTAACCGACGGTTTCTTTTTCAGTTGGTGAAACGCAACGCCATCATGCTCGAGGAGACGAAGGACACGATCACCGTTCCGGCTGCGTTTATGATACGCATGCTCGCCTGTCTCAATCACATCCGACGTGGGGGACGTTTACGATCGAGAATGCGCGAGGAGGCGGACGAATCCTAATTTAATTCATTTTTGAATGTGATTGTGGTTGAAAAATATTTATTTGTTCACTTTTTTTTCCTAAATAAAGAGTCATACTTATTTGTAAGCAAAAAAATGATCATCTCTCGGCGTTTCATTTGTGGGTCAGATTGGGTACCAACTAAATAATTCTCGACCTCTAAATATAAACAAGAACAGGTTAAGTTACCTTTTCAGATGTCGTTACTAGTAGGGGAACGGAAGCGGAAAAGCCAACAGGTAGGTAACAAAATCTTCGGCGACTTCCTCGGCTGTGATGGGATTTAGAGGATAGGGGATAGGATAGCACGACACCTTTTACATAAGTTTGTCGACAAGTAACAGGTGTAGTATTAGGAAAAGAAACACCTCCTCGCACTCATATGATCCTGATACAGAATTGGCAAATTTTTAAATCGAATGAAAGCTTTGAAATAATTCTGACAGAGCTAGAAAAAGACCTCTTCGTACATTATGTTCTCCTAGTAGCACGACACCCTTTGCATAAGTTTTTCGAAAGTAACAGGTGTAGTATTAGGAAAAGGAAACACCTCCTCGCACTCATATGATCCTGATACAGAATTGGCAAATTTTTAAATCGAATGAAAGCTTTGAAATAATTCTGACAGAGCTAGAAAAAGACCTCTTCGTATATTATGTTCTCCTAGTAGCACGACACCTTTTGCATAAGTTTTCGAAAAGTACAGGTGTAGTATTAGGAAAAGAAACACCTCCTCGCACATCATATGATCCTGATACAGAATTGGCAAATTTTTAAATCGAATGAAAGCTTTGAAATAATTCTGACAGAGCTAGAAAAAAACCTCTTCGTAAATTATGTTCTCCTAGTAGCACCACACCTTTTACATAAGTTTGTCCACAAGTAACAAGTGTAGTATTAGGAAAAGAAACACCTCCTCGCACTCATATGATCCTGATACAGAATTGGCAAATTTTAAATCGAATGAAAGCTTTGAAATAATTCTGACAGAGCTAGAAAAAGACCTCTTCGTACATTATGTTCTCCTAGTAGCCGAAACCTTTTACGTGTGTCGACAAATAACAGGTGTAGCATTAGGAAAAGAAACACCTCCTCGCACTCATATGATCCTGATACAGAATTGGCAAATTATTAAATCGAAAGAAAGCTTTGAAATAATTCTGACCGAGCTAGAAAAAGACTTCTTAGTACATTATGTTCTCTTAGTAGCCCGACACCTTTTAAGTGTGTCGACAAATAACAGGTGTAGTATTAGGAAAAGAAACACCTCCTCGCACTCATATGATCCTGATACAGAATTGGCAAATTTTTAAATCGAATGAAAGCTTTGAAATAATTCTGACAGGGCTAGAAAAAGACCTCTTCGTACATTATGTTCTCCTAGTAGCACGACACCTTTTACATAAGTTTGTCCACAAGTAACAAGTGTAGTATTAGGAAAAGAAACACCTTCTCGCACTCATATGATCCTGATACAGAATTGGCAAATCTTTAAATCGAATGAAAGCTTTGAAATAATTCTGACAGAGCTAGAAAAAGACCTCTTCGTACATTATGTTCTCCTAGTAGCACGAAACCTTTTACGTGTGTCGACAAATAACAGGTGTAGTATTAGGAAAAGAGACACCTCCTCGCACTCATATGATCTTGATACAGAATTGGCAAATTTTTAAATCGAATGAAAGCTTTGAAATAATTCTGACAGAGCTAGAAAAAGACCTCTTCGTATATTATGTTCTCCTAGTAGCACGACACTTTTTGCGGAAGTTTGTCGACAAGTAACAGGTGTAGTATTAGGAAAAGAAACACCTCCTCGCACTCATATGATCCTGATACAGAATTGGCAAATTTTTAATTCGAATGAAAGCTTTAAAATAAGTAATTCTAACAGAGCTAGAAAAAGACCTCTTCGTATATTATGTTCTCCTAGTAGCCCGACACCTTTTACGTGTGTCGACAAATAACAGGTGTAGTATTAGGAAAAGAAACACTTCCTCGCACTCATATGATCCTGATACAGAATTGGCAAATTTTTAATTCGAATGAAAAGCTTTGAAATAACTTTGACAGAGCTAGAAAAAAACCTCTTCGTATATTATGTTCTCCTAGTAGCACGACACCTTTTACATAAGTTTGTCGACAAGTAACAGGTGTAGTATTAGGAAAAGAAACACCTCCCCGCACTCATATGATCCT